ACCAGTACCATGAGGTTTTACACATGTTATATGCGCTGTTCAGTTCCCTCTACACACAGTAGTCTAGTAATACTTGTGAAGCATTAGCCCCACAAAAGACAAGGGCACTAGTGCATATACAAAGTACTCTCTGAGAACAATAAATGACATGAGATAGTTTCAGTTTTTGTTACCCCTGCCATAAGCTTTATTAGCTCCCTCTCACGACCTTCCCCATAAGCCCTGCATACTAGGCCAATGCAGCTTTAACCCCAAATCCAGTAATTCCTTTCCAATCAGATGGTTAGTCTTAAGTCTTCTAGAGACTCCACTGGGCTCTAGTGGAAAGTTTTGGGAAGTAAGTCTGTAAGCACCCAGATTTTAAAAGAAGGTAGTGTACTTTAGATTTGACACAACAGATAATAAGGAGCTACTGCAGGTTCCTTAATAAAGATTTACTTGATGTAGTGATAAATCAGAAAGACTGATCTCAGTGAAACTTAATTTATTACAAACATGAATTAAACTTTTCTAAGAAATGTCTAAATAATGAACTAATAACAATGAAGTGTTAATATTGAAAGAAGCAAAGATATTTTAAAAAAATTTCATTCTGGCATAATTAAGGGATAAATCAGTTCAAATGAAAGATGTCACTGTTAGTAATACTGCATTCATTTATTGAATTATGTTTCATATGAACAGAGTGTATTTTTAAGATTATTCAATTATTATATAAGTCAATGTCATTCCACTTTTTGGAAGAATTGATATTAATCTTTTGTCATTGAAAATGTAATCATTAGTCAAATTAACTTCTCAAAGGCCACCTGATAGCCACCAGATGGCAACTTCAGATGATGTCACATCAGAAATGCAAATTATGGAAAGCTGTGAGACTATGCAATCCCACCCATTCCCTCCATAGGTTCCTCTGAAATCAGAAAATATAAAGGCTTTCTAGTGCCTTTGTAAATTTCATTTGAATGTAATAAAATATGCTCTATCCACAATGCTTGCAGTAATTAAAGACTTTTTCCTTAATAGGAGTCTATCTAGAAATAGCCCAATATGGAATGATCATTAATAGACCCATTAAGATACCTGAATAAATGCCTATCAAGAGCACAGCACACACTAGTAAATTTCCTAAAGAAAATCCATTTTCATTTCAAATTCTGACATTTTATTTAGAAAAATTATGCCCTTTCTTCTAATTATTTCAGTAAATATAATGAGGGTATTGCTAACTACACCTTAGAGTACTTTATTTTCTCCATTTTTTAGTAATATGAGTCTCCTTGTAATTAAAGGCATGCTGCATTAATGATGCTGAAAGTCTCCAAGGGAAACATTTAATGTCCACCTCATAATATTATGCCAAAATTACATGCACAGAAGACTTTTTAATAATCTTTGTTTCCTAATTTGGTTTTGATTGGCTCTGAAATCCACGGCAGCACTCAAGGGCTCCCATTTCCACAGTCATCAGCACTTCTGCACCATAAATTGGACAAACCCACATGATTTCTCCCGTCTGTAGGCTCTTTTTCAAAGCTTCTATTTAACTTATCCAGAAGATTAGCTTCAGGCTGAAGATAATTGCCAATAATTTTGCCATTTTTAAGCCACTGGGGTGTTGCGTGGAGAGATGACAGCTAAGTGTGTCTAAACACAATGAACAAGTCAGAGCTTTGTGTTGTCGCTTCAGCTTTACACACAGGTTCAGATCATCCTACTTGGTCTTTACGCAAACTGAAACACATTGTTGTTGCTAGATCTGTGTTTTCTACAAAGCTGTGCTACCTGAAGCTTGCAATGTGGCTGAAAGGACGGGATTGCCACAAATACGCTGTCCCAGCCTGAACAGCAAAAATGGTTAGACTCTTCTCCCTTAACAAAAATAGAGATTTTTTTTCTTTAACTACTCTCAATTTAAAGGGAATATAATAAACTTAAAAGAAAATGTTTAGTTTACAAAACATGTAACTCATGTACATAAACATTTCTCTCTTTTGTATTCTCGTAAGTAGAAATGTCAGAATTTCTCCCAGAAAACTATTGTTTATAAATGCTTGTATAATTAAAATACAACTATTTTAAATTACATGACATTGAAGATTTGTTAAATATGTCATCTGGCTTAATAAGCAGAAATCTATTATTTAAAGAAACCATATGTTCATTTTCTCTAAATTTTTCACTTTAGATTAAAATGAGTTCAACGTTCATGAATAGTCCCTCGCAAACAATGATGGAGCACATGCAAAAAGCAGCAACACAGACTCATAATCCAATGCCAATGAACTTTAACTTTATATTAAATAAATTGGCTATAGGAATTACAGGACAGTAGGACATTCCCGTGGCCAAATTCCTCTCAGTGCTCAGAACTAAAATAGTCATAGCTAATAAGGGTGTCACTGGCTGAGCAAGTGAAACCATTTTGCAGCCCACATTTACATATAGGGGGTAAACAGTGATTATGCTTATCTGGCAGGTACCCTGATGTAATAGGCCATAACGACTCTGAGGGAGAAGGTTTGGATGCAGTGTCAAGGAGGAGAGCATGTCCAAGTCATAATAGAAGTGACTTTATGGAATCCCATTAGACCTTGGTCTAAGGAGCACCTAACAAGTCTGATATGACAGCCTTGTGTCAGGAACCCTTACAATAAATAATTTTATGGAAAATCCAAACTGCAGAGAGATGTGTTGGTATCTTAGGCCATTATCACTGACTTGGCACATAATATGCATACGTATAGTTCCCAAGTGTGTGATTTGAGGAGAGATTATTAAATCAGTTATGCCAATCATATCCATATTAAGGAATACAAATTAAGGATTGATAGGTAATATCTCACAAACCTCAAACTCTCTCTTGAAAAACTACTCTGCTCAAGTTAAATCCACCATGGCTTCTGAATATCTGCATCATATTAAGATGCTGGCTTTCAAGAGACTACTCTGTGGAGTTTCGTGTGAACATAAAAAGTATATATCTTACTGAACTTGAGCCCAGCGGAAGAAAATCATTTAAATTCTCTTTTCTCATGTGGTCTCTAGCACCACTTAGCCAGTGACTTCATAGGAATTAGCTTGTTTAAATACCTCAGATCATGTTCCCATGAAAGGCAAGCACGGGAAGTGCCATAATATACCCTTTCCTGCTTATGATGGAAGAAAGAAGCTTGCTAAAGATGCCCGCCAAGTAAACCTTTCAACATGACGGACAGGAGCAGTGCTGAGCAGGCATTCTCCAGCCACAGACTGAAACCAGAAGAGCTGTACACAGAAATCAGACCCTGAACACATCATACGGGGCCTGTGCAGGAAGAAACACCACCCTGAAAAAGGATATTTGCAATTTTACTTAGGCTATAAATTATTAAACAATTTCAGAAGTGGTATATTGTTACAAGTGTCATGTAAACTAATATATAGAGCTAGAGAGCTCTTAATAATACAAAGAGTTGGCCCAGAACTCTCTCTGCTATAAGGAGCAGAAGATTACGTAACCTCTCACCTGAATAGCAAATTCACTTCAGATTGGCAATGCAATCTAAAATTTGACCTTTCATGAGAAATTGTTAAAGACTTTATACAAACCAACAAATTTCCCTGCTCTTTTACAGATGTATTATAGTTTTACTAATATGTTTGAATAAACTCCTCAGGAAGCCTGTTGTTTCTAAAATGTAACTTCTTTGCAAAGCATATACCTGCTTCCAGAGAGAGCCAGGCCCTGTCTTTGAAATATTTAGTCTTTCAGGGCACTTTAGTCATAGTGACACCTAATAGCCAAGCTCTTTTTCTCACTCTCCACAAAATCAGGTTTAGACTATAATTCAAACCAGTCCCTAAAGGCACTTCCGAAAAATGGCAAGCCCTTAGCTTTTAGTTGAAAACACTCTTTATTGCTCAAAATTGTTTCCTGTTACAAAACCTTTTCTATAGTACTTGGTCTAAGATGATCTTAGGCTAATTTAACTCACTGGGGACTGTGAGCAGATGCTACTTTGATTAATAGTTTCACTATTCTGAAAATGCCAGGCCAGGTTCAAGATAAGAAAATCCAGTAAGAATACTGTTAAAATCTGCCATATGATTATATCTGTTATGTGAAGAAAAATGGGATCACAGACCTTGTGTCAAATAAAGACAACCCATAATAAAAAACAACAACACAAACCAAATGAACATGCTGTCTGGATTCTTTAGTATGTTAACTGACACCATTTCAATCGCCAGTCTCTTTACTAATACCCTACAGGCATATCATCAGCTGTGTCTCTAGTGGAAACGCAATGTGTCACCCAGTGCTGCTCCTTTTTCACCCAGGAAAAGACTTAATATATGCCAAGAGCAATGCATTTTGTAACTTTTCCTTATCAAAAAGAGAGTATCTGGGTCATTACTTTCCAGTGAATGTTTTCCACATTCCAATATTCCTTTTCATTCATTCCAATATTCCTCATATATGAGTATAAAGAAACCTTCAGAGTTAGTTTGCCATTGAATTTTACCTTAATGTAACATATTTGACTTAATCATATTCCCAATCTCTAATCTGAAATTAACCTTCAATTGAACTTTATATGTACCTCGGTTCACGAACTTAATTCTTGCCACAATTCTGGTTGCAAACCAAATTGGACAAGAACCAAATTAAATTCAATAGCTAGGTTCAATGTTGACTTTATGAGGAAATTTGATTCAGCTTTCTCCCAATTCGGTTTTGCCTAGAATTGTGGCAAGAATTAAGGGCATGAACCAAGGTACCACTGTATATATCCCCTGCCTCAGTGAAACTCTTAGTTTGCTGGGAAGCAGAAAGTTCCAGTGTATCAACTGTAATCCTAGATAGTGCAGTTCTAGATAGTCCATTGAGAATGAAGCTAGCCTGTTAACATAAATCTGCCACCTGCATGGGTTGAGTCCCACACTCACCACCTTGGAATGCATATGCAATTCAACCCCATTTGTATGAAATATTCTACTCGAAAGCATTGCCTCACCATTGCACAGAACGACTCAGGAGGGTCTCCACAGGTAATATTGGGAGGATCCAGTTTCACTTTCAGATATTTGGTCATGTCCGTGGATTCTGGCTGACAGGCCATGTAATCCCACATTTTCCCTTCTTCTGTGTAAATCTGAGTTTTACACACATCATAATGTCCCCATACCAAAGGGTAGGGCTGCATCACTGAGGACACTGTAACCCAAAGGGCATGAATGGACAGGAATCTTGACAAATACATCTCTAAATTCTTTGTAGTCTTCGTGGCTTATCTGTAATCTGCGTCTATTTTACATAAACATATATGTGTCTCTTTATGTAGGAAGGTCTGTATACTTTTAAAGAGAGAGAGGATGAGATTTCAAAAAGATTCCAAAACCAACATGAAGGATTTAGATATTGTGCATACTCAGGAATACTGACGACTTTGGTGGAAGCCTAACATACTTGTGTGCTAGGCAGCAACAACTTGCAGCTTTTTCTTCATCCTACAACATATCTATTAGATGCAGGTCTAGTTTGGTTTTTGCCAAAGAAGTCCAGTAGCAGATAGTTTAGCAAAGTGATGGCTCTCCCACTGTACATCCGATAACCCTGAGTGATCCTCAATGTTCACGGCTTTCAAGGGCTGTTCAGGCGCACTGACATACCAGTATCTGAAGCAGAAGGATGAGTGTCTGACAGTCCAGTGTCTGTTTCCCATCAATCATTCTGTTCTTCTGGCAGCAATATCCTTTTAAAAACAATAAGAGTAAGAGTTACTGTTCCACAATCAATGCATTACGAAATGTTTGATATGTTGACATTTTGGAGCTTTGATGTAATACAAAGCAAATTGGTGTAATGTGGCTAACCTTTACTCAGTTGCTTTGCTTATAATGAGCAAACCAGGAAAGTCATTCATGCTGGAGAGGATTTTGATAAGAAGTGTTTAACTCTTCCATAAAAAAAGACAAGATGCGTGTGTTCCAGGTGAGTTGCATGTTCCATTTCAAAAAGTGTGCTTCCGTCTTAACAGGGCAAACTGCTAGATTTAAATACTTCTTAATGATTGAGGTGCTAAAAAAATCTTTTAAGAGAACAATGGGAGAAATGAGGTTTTTATAAAAAAATAAGAATGACAAAGAAATGACAACTATTTGTATGCCTTTTTTTCGTGGCAAAGAGACCCTAAAAATCTCCAAATTTCTTGTACATTCCATTGCTTCTGTTTGCTAAAGTGAAAACTAGCTTTGTTGGTGTGAGCCTGTCCCTTTGGATTTCCTTATTATATTGGAAGACTTTAGCAACCTTTTGTTTAACCCCATTTACTGACAAAGACAACTTTCCTCTCTGAAAACAAAATTCAGAAGTAAAACCAAAGGAGCAAATCTTCTTTTAATAAGGATTTTCTATTTTCTTATATCTTTTTATAACCATTACACCTGCATTTGCAGTTACTTTCTCTCAACAGAAGAGAATTTGTCCCAAAGGCAAATATTATGGGCTGCTTTAAAAGTAAAAGCTCTGTAGTAAAATGCACAATTTAAAATGCACGTATAAAAATAGCTGAGGGTGAGTTAACAGGCCATGAAGCAGAATAATATGGCACTAATTCTAAGGGAAAATAAAAATTACCATTTAAAAGTCCTTATGGCAAACTGACAATGTAGTCTACATAGCTACAGACACAAATCATTGATGAATTTAATTGGCAACTTTTCTCTTTAGAGATCATTATTCAAATCTAAGTAAGGACTAATACTTGGAATCCAGATGTTTGGAAAAAGGTGTGTTTTCTTAATTATTTGGTTCATAATCATGCTCCAAATTATTAGCTACTTTTTAAATGGCTCGAAAAGGACGAAAAAGCCTGTAGCTCTGGAAAATTGCAATATAAATCCTTCAATTCACATTAAACAGTTTAAATATGGAAGTTCACTATCTTAAAACAATGTTATAAAAGGAATTCACTATATTTAAATAATGCACCATCTTAAAACGAACTAAGCCATAGAGACTATGAAATGCCAACAGATGGTTGAATTGTGTTTCCATAGCAAAGTAATTTATAATAATTGCTTTATGGATGCAAGTGCAATTTTCATTATATTCAATTCATAAAATGTTATCATACAGCTGCAATTTGTGATATTTTCTATTAGGAAAAGTGTTGAATATTTGAGTTCCTATGAAGCAATAATTAGTAGTGTGTCTAAACATGTATAAACTACAGATTTGAATCTTCCTCTTCCAGACTATATTGTGTTGAGCACATTTTGAAATCTTAAGCTAAAAAGAAAAAACTCATAGAGAAGCATGTGTTGTGGCTACTACAGCTTTCTGCTTTTTTCAGACTCATTAGTAATTTTAAGTTGATATTTTCAGCAACATCCAACACTCTGACAATTTATGATGCAGAAAGGTGTTAAAATGATATAAATCTATATTTTCTAGATGCATTTTTCAACTATGTTTATATTATAAGGGAAAACAAACACTTTTGGGGATGCAGGGAGTTGGCATTACAAATGAAGTAGTGTAAAACCTACTAGGTCAGAAATTGTTAACTTCAGTTCTTAGTTTCAAATACACTACAATTTATTTATTGAAAACAATATAATCGAAGACTTGGAACTGTTTTGAAATTGAAAGTAGGATGTGTTAACCTGTAATATTATTTTAAAAATATGACTTCAGGCATACATTGGAATGATCCCTGAGATTAGCCTTTACTTTTTAAAAAACAATATGATTCTCTTAAATCCACTTAATGTTGGTTATAGTTTCCTTAACCACATTTTGACTTACTGCAACTTTATAATAAAGAGTGACCATACATTTGTACCTGAAAAATTTGGACACTAAGGAAACATATATAAACCTATTCCTATCTCCTGACACAAGAGCAATCCCAATGTAACGAATTCTCATTAAGGTATACCAGAATTATAGTGATGGCCATTACACAGAATTATGGACTACACCACTGATCAAATTTAGAGAAATGACAAGGAAAAATGGAGAGGAGCGCAAGATATTTGAATATTAGGCAGTTGCAGGACTGTGCGACAGACATTCTTGACAAGAAGCAGCCAATTATAGCTTACATTTCTGGCACATAACCAGTTGTGATTAATAGTTTTGCATTACATTACAGACATATTATTAATGTATTAAAAATGTCAAGGTTTGGCAAGCACTAATATGGCATGGCTCAGTTAGTCTGGAGAATTTACATTTAATGAGCTCCCATTGACACAGAAAAAGATATTGACCACAGCATATTACAGATCAGGAGCAGAGGCTCACTAAACTATTCTCTAACATAATTATTTTATTTCATTGTGAGTTTTAATTTTGGAACATCACCTACTATGCATTCTTCATTTCAGGGTCTCCTCACTTTTCAGCGTCGCACATAGTATCCTTCAAAGAAAATCCTTTTAACTCCAAATTAGTAATAAATTAAATTATGGACTTCCCTGACATACAATAGAAAAAAAAGCTCTGTCTGTGAAAATCAAGAATTGGCTGCTGAAGTGTAATTATGGAGTTTTCAAAGGAAATAAAATGATACACAAACAATATTATTTACACTGCAACCTCTATTATCTAATGGCCCTGGTTCCCATCTGGCTTTGCATTCAACCAGGTTAAAATATCAATAGATTCTTAAAAGCTAGGTCATCAGAACAAACACCTAAGCAAACCGATTATGAGAAGGACAGGCAATGACATATGTTGAGACTTAATATACTAAACATATCCCTCCCGGCCCATAACTGAACTAATTGTCAAGTAATGTGGCTTTTGAATTTGTCTCAAGTGTCCAGATCACCTAAACAAGGGCAGCTTCAGAGGAGCTCTGGGCAGCCCCATCTCTGCTTCTTTAATTTGCCAAGCCTGGGGACTCATTGTAATCAAATAATGTCATCAGCTCTACTTGTGAACTCAAGTCCTTTTTGATTTAAAAAAAAAAATACCCATTCAAATGTCACGTATACTCCATAGACCTCCGGCATATAAATTTTCAGAGCCAATGAAAAAATATAAAACTACTTCATGGCCCTCAACTTGCTAGATATTATTCTTCAGGGCTAAAATGGGCTATAAAATGGTTTTGCATAGATGGAATATACATTTTTCCAGGATTCTGAAGCTAATTCCCTTGCATCTTGGGTTATCTTTGTGAAAGACCTTTCACAGGCCCTTTCTGTCATGAGGAAGAAATAAAATTCCTCCCAAAATATTATATAGAAATAATAATGATTAAAATTATAGGCAATCATGCTCCAAAAGCAATTTCCAATTTTATCAAATAAGAGGAAAATACTGCCAGTAAATCTACTAACACTAGCTGGCTTTCAACATTCATTTTATTATATAATGTCACTGCGAGGTGGGGGTGATGGTAGTAGGCTACTTATTCCATAAATATTCAGCTCTTTGGGGGCACCTGAAATAGACACCTATTGACTCACTCTTTATAGACTTTAAGAATTTTATAAATATGCATGTTTCTGAATCAAAAGGAAAATTGACTGTAATCATACGCCATTGACAGAGAAATATAAAGAGGAAAAGATACACAAATTCTGTAACCTCCCAAAATTAGCACCTTCCAACACAGCCATAATAATAAGATTTATTACATGAGCTATTTTAACATATATTGAATACTTTTTTGCATATATTTATTTGCTGTGAAAAAGCATCTCTTATTCTTAATGGGAAACATAGGCTGCTGTGTTTTTGTTAACTATCTCTCAAAATACAAGGAGTTTAGCATATACTGCAACATCATTGGCATAGCTTACTCATTCTTGATTGGGTATTATGAGCAAGTGCCTATCAGGAGATTCTTAATAAAACAGGTAACACACTTTAGTATTTGAAAGATCTCTATTTTCACCAAGAGAAGACCAAAGAACAAAATCAGATGGCATATATTTTACAAATGTTTGGCAATTGGATAATACATAAAATTATTTCAAAATCAGTGAAGTCTAAAAGAAATCTGGTGTTTAATTGACCAAGGAACAACAAATGTTTCATTCTCATACAGGGATGTTTAGAGATCCAAGGTCTCAAACACACACCTGAGAAAATCTACAGCCACCTGAAGTTTTGGAACAAAACTCTGGGTCTGAAAATAAAATTAGTTTTGAAAGTATGCTAAAATCACTTACTGCTCTATAATACAATATAATCCTCTCCCTCTCTCATACACACACACACTTTTCAAAATATTAACGTATGACTGTTTTCCTAAGTTGTATGAAAATTTATTCCTTTGCCTGTGACTTGGTGCTTTTCTAACTTGAAAACGGTCTCCAAATCTGTACTTAGAAAACCTATCAACTAAATGTGTAATAACTTAACTTTTAAACACATTGCCTGATGCTTTTCAGAATAAAACTTTACCAGAACTCAAAACAAGTATTTGTACTAAATGCAAACATACAAAAGGAACTGCAGACTACATTAGCCTCTTCCTAAAAAGCTAACGTAAAGCATTGTAATCCACATGCTCAACCCGTGAAAGAAAACAAATCAAACCAAATCTTAATAGAAAAGAGCTTTTTGTCTAAATAAAATAAATTGCTCCTTTATAAAATTTGTAAGATTACTGCTCTTAAATCTTATAATAGGAAATATCAAATTAATAGACAGATATATGAAATCCCAAATGCCTTCATGTTTCTCTTTAAAGATTAAATATATTTGATTTCATGGCATCCAAAAAAGAAAATATATCCTTCTGTAGGTACGCTGGAATAATATCACATGTGAAACCCTTGGTGCATTTTTTCTTTGCATGCTGATCCACATGCAGAGATCTACATTTCATTTTAATGAAAAATTATAAGTCACTTATCCTCAAAAATAATATCGGCCACTTATTGATTCCGTCACAGCTTAGATTTAGTCAAGGGCCAGACAAATTCGAGGAGCCTTACCCTCCCCCAGAAAAGATTTCTGGAAAACTTTCCAGCAAACTTAACCCCAAACATACTGAAATAAACGATTTTGATGGAAAATCTTTTTTCATTTCTGCAAGATAAGAAAATTTTTAGCATTTTCAGCCACAGAATGAGGCCTTATTTCTAGAGCAAATTTACTGCCAGGTTCACGGAATGTTTAGTAGAATTCTAAATCTTACTCAGAATTTTCCATTTCAACCACTGACAAACTCTCAGGTTAAGGAGTGTCTCTATTATTCCTTGTGTAAAGACAAGAATGGGAGCGAGTGGGGGAACGAAAGCTTCTACTCTCTGAAGATCTATACCTGATGCAACGATAGGAACTCAACCTGAGATTTTTCCAAATAAAGTTGTCTTAAAACCCTCCTTAAAGGAATTTTCCTCCCTTCCCCTGTAAAATGACAACCTACTCAAGTGCACTTTGGCGGGGGGGGGGGGGGGGGGCTCAGGTGAGGTTACCAAAATAAACAGCAGAGGGCGCAGTTTCTTTTTTAATCTAAGTTTTCTCTTACATGAATTACTTAATTGGTTATTTTGGGCCCAATAATATTCGGTATTATTTATAATATCTATAGATATCCACAGATCCATACCAGAAAGCACGTCGGTGTCCCTAGCTCCCTCCTTCCTCTCATTAATGTGATGCCAGTATCTGAGAAAACATTCCAAACAGCATTCCTATACCAAGTCTCTCCCTCTTTCAATTTTCCTTTCTCCCCAGCTGCACAACGTGGGGTAGTAATGCTTTAATCTCGCACCAATAAAGGAGATTGAAAGCAAGGGACTTTATAAGCTCCGGGTGTAGCCAGCAGCTCCACAGGACTGGCAACAGGGCAAGTTTTTCACCAAAGCAGACAATTGTCCAGAGAAACAATAACAGTAATAACCCTCCCGCGCGTCTAGTGCGGCCAGGTGCGTAGGAGGCAGGGCGAGCGCGGGGTTGTGGGCAGCCGGGGCATCGAGGCACCGAGCGACCCAGCGCCCAGGCTCCGGGAACAACACGCGCGTAACCTGCTCGGAAAGCACCCCCGGGAAGACTCGTGTGTGGGTGCGGGCCGTGTGCGCGCAGAGGCTCCGCGCGCTGCTTCCTCAGGGCGCTTTCCAAAGTTCTTGCCCACCCGGGCTCGCCTCCCGCCCGCGGACCGCACTGGGGGGCGGGCGAGGGAGGGGAGGGCAGAGGAGAAGGGCTCGGACGCAGGGCGGGGGCCCGGGAGCCGACTGTACTTACCTTGCGGGCCGGGGTGCCCTTGCGCCCCTGGGAGCCGAGCCGTCGGAGCGGGGCGGCGGCCCAGTCCTGCCCTGCCCTGCCCAGCCCGGGGCGCCTCGGGCGGCGTCCGCGGCTGCGGAGCTGGTAGGCGACGAGCGGCAGGGCGGCAGCCGCTCCTGGAGCCTCCTCCCGCGGCGCGCGCGGAGCTGAGGGGTGGGTGCGTGGATCCCGCCGCCGCCGCCGCCCCGGGGTCGCGATCGCACCCGGCCCACTGCCCAGAGGACTCCGCGGCCCCAGAACCCACGCTGGCCCGCCACGGGCGGCGGCTTAATTACCTTCGCCTCGGCGCGGGCTCCTCCTGCGCGTCGCCCCCTCTCGGAGCCCGCACCCAGAGGGGGAATTCCTTCCTGTTGACGTCCTCTTCCGAAATGCAAAAGATCAGTGACTTTGACAGGTAGACGAGGGGGAGGGAGGAGGGGTGGGCGGAGAGGAGGAGAGGATGCGAAAGGTGCCTCTCCCTCCAAAAATACGGAGAGGCTAACGAGGAAAGCGCAGCCTTCGGAGGTCTCGCCAGCCCGGTGCCGCTCGCCGGTTTTCCGCGCCTCCCCGCGCCGCCGCGTCTGCCACTTCTCGCCTTAAACTTTTACAGAGGGCTTTCCCCCTCTCTTTTCTCTTTCTCTTTCTTTCTTTAAGCTGCAGGACGATGTTCTGATTCCGAGGGATCAGAACCAGAACCGGCGGCCAGGCGGTTCTATCCCGCTTGGCGCCGCTTTCATTTTATTTCAGACGAAGCCGCGGAGCAGTCAGAAGGGCATAAATCAGGACAATTAGTACTGGCGCCCAGAGGCTCCTCCGGCGCCGATTCCGCCCGGGCTTCCTTCGCGCATTCCTCCACTCAAGTGAGAAATGTCTCTGCACATCGCGTTGATGGCTGCGAGACGCGACGCACCCCAAGTCCGTTTGATGAAATATACATGGCCCGCGACGCTCCGGGATTGCGGAGCCCGGGTTCCCAGCCCCCTCCCGCGGCCCCGGCCAGGACCCAGCTCCGAGCGCCCGCGAGCTCTCCGCAAACTTCGGGCGCGTCCAGCCTGGAGAGTGCGCGCGAGGGCCGGGAGAGGGAGACGCCGCGCAGCAGCCAGGGAAGCCGCAGCCCTAGGAGGGGTGGCCAGGACGCTCCGCTTAAAAAGCAGATCTTCTGCAACTGCCAGCAAGTGGAAGGACTGCAAACCTTATACTACCTGGAGACCTGGGCGCTCCGAGCGGTCCTAACTCCGTCCCGCTGCTGTTACTGCTGCCGCTGCCGCCGCTAAGCCTGACCTCGGGGCGCTGAGGCTGCGGGGCCGTCGTCCTCCTCGCCCGCCACGCGTCTTCGCCCCCCGAAGAGCGGCTTCCACCAACTCCCGGACCTCCCACTTGTGCCCCCGCCTGCCCACCCCTCGCTCCTCTGTCGCCTCCCCGAACGGTTCCCAAGCACGCCCCTCACTCCCAGCAGCGAACACCGCTGTGCTTCCCAATTAGCTTGCTCGGGCCGCGGTCCAGGGAGCCAGAAACTCCAGCCTCCCCTTTAGAAACTCATTGCGCCTTAGAAAGTTCAAGTTCTAGAGAGAGCTCAGAGGCTTCCTGCCCTTTCTCCAAGGGGAGATAAACCCGGGGGCGGGGGTAATTCCCCAGCAAGGAGGACTCACCTGGGATCACTCCTAGCCACTGACAAAGGGCAAACAAAAAACAATCGGACTCAAATGGATGGGGAGAGCCTTTATTAGAAAGCCTATGGTGACAAAAACGTCCTGCAAAACGTTACAAATCCACACGCATCCCCACACCAGCCTGAAATTGAAGCTTTCTGTTTGTGTTTGTTTTGTTTCCTATAAGGTAAGGGGGCTGAACCCTAGAAGACAGGGGGGCACGTGCCCGGAAGTGAACCAAGGACAGGAGTGGCTCACAGTTTGACAAGAATTGCTTCTCTGTGGCCCAGGGACCTTGGGGATCAACTGAGGAGGGTGAATGTTCCAGTTCCACACTTTAGTGCTCTTAAATGAAAGTGGAGCTAGAAGTTCTGGGGCCTGTGGGAGGGCAGAAGCCGATTCCGCGTGGTCTGTGCAAAGCGGAGGGTGAGAAATGGCCCTGTGAACCGCTGCTCACTCACCACGTGCCCCATTTGGAAGGCTGCGAGGTGAGAGTCGTTGAGTCATATTCCTGTACTAGCTTGGGCTGGTGTTGGCAGAGGGTGCGTGGCCAAGATGGCTGTTGATTTGCCCCTGGAGCCAGGAGCCAGGAGCCAGGAGCAGCCCGGAAGCAGCGAGAAATTCCACTCACCCTAGGCTCCCCTCCACATTGGAGAGGCCACAGCCAGTCCTCCATGCTTTGGCTCTCTTAGTGCAGGAATCTGGGATTGCTGTTTTCTTCCTTCACACCTAGGTCTGTTGGCATTAACTTGCAAAACGAGTCACCCGCAGGCTCAAACTCCCAGCAGGGGTGCTTAACTGCCTGTGGCCTTTTTTACTTCTTCCTCTAGTCTCCAGGAACACCAGTCACCTAACTCTCCCTCCCAGGCCCGTCTCCGGGGCCTCTGTCTGTAGGCCTTCAGAAAGAACAACCCTGGGAGCCTTCTGGACACCTCCAACCCCACCCCTGGCCTAGGTGCAAAAATGTAGACACAACTCTCAGCTTTTCATCTCCCTCCTGCCTTTTACCATCCAGCTGTCATTCTGAGCTTTGTCAGATTCTTTTAGACCTGTCTCCAGTAAGAAGAAAACAAATATATGGGGAAATACTCAAATTTCTTTCTGGGATAAACAGAGGTATTACCTCCCAGTATCCTATGGCTCAGATTAAGTTCCCCACCTCTCTCAGGGCCTTAGAACTAACCCCCTGCTCTTCCTGTATCCTCCTTCACTTGCACAGTTCACTGGACTAGGAGGCAGCCAGCCGTTCCAAGTCTGAGATGGGAATGGAGACCCTTTCAGATTAGGTAACGTCTTGCACTCTAGGAACAGGAGAATCTTCCAGAAGTGATGTTTTCTTTCAGACATGTGCTCTGACATTTGCAGAGGCTTGGTAAATAACTAAACATGTGAATCTAAACTCTAGGAAGTATATCTGAGAGTTTTCAACATTAAAATCTTTCTCCTCCAGATCTTGTTCCCTCCTCTCCTCTTCTTGTTTCCTGTAACCATTGCTTGTATCCTCTCCTCCAGAGATGAAGTGGGAAGGGTATATTCCTGCAAAACAGCACTTCCGGGGGACCGGATCTACACCTACAAACTGACCATCCATGAGCTGACTTGTGCATACTAACCTAGCTCTCCTGAATATATCTCCACGTAGGTATTTATATAATAAACATCAAACAAGTTTATTTTAGACGTTTCATTGGTATCAGGGAAAATAATTTAGAGCATAGTAACTTTTATTTTTTGTCATATATATATGACATATATATATGTATATATCTTTGGAAAGAATGATTTTTCCATTTTTATTTAACCTTTCAACTCTACTTTTTTCTCTCTTCCTGCAGAGAACAGTTTGATCTTTCAGTTTTCTGGCTTCAGCTCCTTGGCTGGTTTCCATGCATTCCTCATTCTTCAATTTAGATATCCATTTATTTGTAATCCTGTTAGATCTCTAACTGTCGTTCATTTTTCTAGGTTCTTAGCTCCCTAAAAATCTCTTTAGAGATTTGGCAACCTTGTTTAAATACTTGTAACTTCAATATGCATATTGGTAGTGATGGCGTATTTGCAATAGATCTAGCCCAAAATGACATGTGTCTCTTTGTAAATACTATAAACCAATTATCATAAAGCAGGTATAAGATAAATATTCATTGCAGGTGTGACTAATTTTTGCCCATTCTCAAGATTCACTTATAGCTTCCTAGGTCACAGGAACTAACTCCACCATATAAAATATAAGGCTGAAATATTCAAATCAAGATTGTCAGGTGTTTCAGACTGTGTTATTATTTATACGTACTTGGATGTCTCCCCAAAGCCTTCACTCAGAGGCAGAGCTGTGTGGATGAGATGGATTGTGGAGGTTCACAGCTAGCTTGTGTTGAGAGGCAGGACCTAGTCCAAAAAGGCTGGTCACTGGGAGCATGACCTGGAAGGGCATATCTCCCACCTAAGCTCCCCACTTCCCTGTCTGTTTCCTGGCTGTTAGGAGGGGAGCAGTTTTCCTCTCCAACCAGGCCTTTCTTCAAGCCAGCCAACTATCATCTAAAAATGTGAGCTAAAGGCTGGAGATGTAGCTCAGTGCCCCCACGCCTGCCTGGCAAGTGCTAGGTCCTAAGTTTGATCCCTGGTACCAAAAAAAAAAAAAAGAAAAGTGAGCCAAAATAAACTTGTCCTCCTTTAAGTTGCAGGTGTCATGTATTGTGTCTCAGTGATGAGAAAAGTAAGACAGACCACTATAATAGGAAACCATAGACTGGGTTATAAACAAACAACAGAAATTATTTTCCATTTGCTGAAGGCTGAAAGGGCAAGATCAGGATGGCAAAATGGTCAGATTCTGGAGAAGACCATCTTTTGAGTTGCAGACAACTGACTACTCCCTAACTTCTAATATAGTAGAGGAAGGCCTAGTGAGCTCCCTGGGGTTCCTTTGATAAAAACACTAATCCCATTTTTGAGGGCTCCTCTCCCATAATTTAGTTACCACCCAAAGACCCTCTAACACTAACACATTGAAGGTTGGAATTTAAGGGTATGAATCAATGGTGGGAAGAAATATTTAGTCTGTAACAAGGGGCAAGTTCTATTTGGCTAATTATATACTATGTGGTAGATGTTTCCTGTAACCATTGCTTGTATCTGAATAGACAGACATATTCTTCCAAGCCACTGTAAAACCCTTAGCCCTCTCACACCTCCACTTTGTGCTTGGTGTATGTTTTATTACCGAACCGTTAGTGATGTAGTTTTGAAATTCCTTACCTGAAAGACATTTCTAATGCTTAACTATTTCAACATTTAAACCTCTAGCAAACCCTGAGCATCTGCTCTGTGCTCTATCACTAAACTATACTGGCATTTCCCTGCTTTTATTAGCTGCTGAAAGATGCTTTTCTTGAGGTTTAAGTACAAGCCTAAATGAAGTACCAATCATGCCCAGCATAGGGCAGTCTCATTTAGTCCTGTTCGGACTGGTAACTGACCCAAAGACATATTATTCAGTATTTTGTTAAAAAATCCATGACGTGTGTTTACAAAACATGGTGAATGTTTAAATAAAAACTGCAAGTTCATGAAAACATTGTAGTGTTCCTTCATCCACCTTTACAAGATCAGACATAGTGCAACCCTGGCTCTTTCCCAAAGTAAAAATCACCATGAATGTTTTGAATTGATTCAGGTCAATGAGGCAGCCATAACAGCATGACTAAAGACACCTGTGAAAGAGGATTTCCAGAACTGCTTCAGAAAGTGACAAAAACAATGGGACAAATGTGTTTGAAGTATAGGAGAATATTTTTAAATTTTTTATTATTATTTTGAGACAGGGTGTTCCTGTATAGTCCAGGCTGATCTCAAATTCACTGTGTAGCCCAGGCTGGCCTCAAACTTGGGGAAATCTTCCTGCCTCAGCCTCCTGATTGCTGGGAGTACAGGTGTGCAGCACCACACCTGGTTTATTCTCCCTTAAGGGAGAATATTTTGAGGGGAATCAATCACAATGTGACTTTACTGTAACAAATTTTTATTTAAACATTCAGCATAGTTTTAGTCATACTTTCAACTCTGTTACTAAATCTGAAACTTAGAGGACTAAATAATATAAACCATTGACAGTTAATGACTGATTCAGGAAACATGATTTCTAGCAAGCATATGCTTTCTAATACATGTGGCATTGTGTAAAATAGTTTGGAAGTAATAGATTTTAAAAACTCACA